AAACGTCTGCATTTATTGTTCGTAAGTTGAGGCATCTTCATACAAACATCGCTTCCCCCATTTAACAGCAGACTGATCTAGGACACCAGCTGGAGAGCTCTGGTTAGCAGCTGCTTTATAGATACATATTAAAGTGCAAAGTATCGACTAGAAGAATTAAAAAGACTAAAAACATCTTTGTGTGTGCATGTGTGTGACTACATGTACATATTTTAGAATGAAAACTAATAAATGTTCAGAGTCAAGCAGGGACATTCCACACTGTTATGGTTTCGCATATCCCGCAAAATACAACTGCTCACCCCTTAAACACAACACGTAGAGCATAAGTGTCCTATGCTACATTGACCTTTTCTTTTAGTCTTCTCTATCACCCGTTCAATGACACACGTTACTTCCAATAAAATATATGTCCACTAATACATCCACTTAAAAGGACGTAAAATTAATATAAACAGTTGTGCATGATAATCACAGTATTGCCAACTACACTTACTATTTTAAGAGCTTTTAAACACCTTTCTTTTAGTTACTGATTGAAAAGAAATAAACACCTCAGTTATATTTTACAGAAATACAGCAAGTACCAAAAAAAAGCATTTTTCCTTTCTTAAAGAAAATGTTTGCATTTGGAGGAAGAAAGGAAGGCTGCAGATGTAATTAAGCTGAAAATTAAATATCAATAGTACAGTATTAGAGGAGCAGCAACAAGAACTCCTACACAAGTTCTTGCCAGTCTGCAATTCTGAGCAAGAACAGTTTTTCATTGTAATAAAGAGTAGTATGCAGATAAATACAACACCATAACGGATTTCATCTTTATTTTCCCCCTCTATTTAGTCACTACTAAAGATCCCTTTGCCGAGATTTTCCCCAAAGTAAATATTTAAGCATTTCTATGTCAAAGTTGCCTTTCTTCTCCTCGCTTTACATGATACCCAATTGTTTTTCCCAAAAGCATTGATATGCAAAATTATTTCAGTATTTACAGTTCCCACGTGCAGGGGGAAAAAAAGAATACACACAAAAAAGCCATCAAAACCTGCACAACAAACTGCGGCCTGTACAATTGCCAAACATTGCCTAAGTAAAAAAAAAAAAAAAGTGTTCTAAAGAAAGCATAAGACAAACATATTTGGAAAGGGTTTTATAGAAAGCACTGTAGCAGAAAAAGGGGTCTCTGAAATTTAGAGAAAGGCAGACAACAATTTAGCAAAATGATCTACAGAAAAGGGACTCCTTCTGTAAAGGCAACTGCAGAATTATCCTTCTAAACAAAAGAAAGTCTCACTCGTAAAACAAAACTGCAAAAAGCACCGATATGATGTTCACTTACTCAGCACTAGGCCAAAAGCACTGTCTAAAGATACCTAAAGAGTAAAAAGTGACTTTGAAGAAGCCATTGTAATTAAGATTAATGTGTAAGCTAAGTATGTCAGTAAAAAGAAAGAACCTGTACTTAAAAATGTAGTTTTTAATTTAATAACTGGTCAAAAATATTTGAAGTGTGATTGGCTACATTTCCTCTTTCAAATGTAGCCACTAGCTACAGTATTAGCTATATAAGTTCTAGGTATCTAAAGCAGACTTTGTTTTGACATTAAGTCAGAAGATGCAACAAAACAGACATATCTTATATAGAATAAAAAATGTTAGAGTCATTTAATCTGTGCATAAGCACTGAAGACTGCAAGGAAAAAAACAGAATCTGATATAACTGTAATATTGCTCCTTATATTTTCAGGGTAAATGTCTACAAGATGCAAGTGGTATGCATATTCTTCACAGTAACCGAGATATTTAAGTGGTCTGTAACACACGTTGCTCACTTCCAGTAAGGTCCAAATTACCTAGGTCTGTTAAGTAATAAACTTAAAGCTGACAAACTTATCTGCAGTCACACTATATTAACAGCAATACTTAGGAAATTGGCATCAAAGTTTAGAGAGTATTGTAGATATTTAAAATAGAAAGTGATTTCAGTATCCCAGAGAGATGTCTAAGGCAAGCAATAAGTAGTGTTGACAAAATAATCATACTCAGAATCCCGCAAAGATGATATGAAAGATTGCTATTGGACAGTCTGGAATCTGAGGTTCCAAAAACAAACCAAAACTAACTCTCAAACACAACCACCTCAAAACACCTCCTCCCAACTATAACTAGATGATAATCTATTAAAAAAAAAAAAAAAGGGGGGGGGGGGGATGTTGCAAGTGTGGAATGCTGGAATAACTTCCAGTAATCAAAGAACTTGTGATAATAGATTTTGGCTTTATGAAGTCTGCTTCTGACATCTCAAACCCTTATCTGCATCAGGCTTGAAAATAATGCTACTGTCCAGTTCCAATGAACCAAATAAGCACACAGGGAAGAAACCTTCAGATCAGCTGTAGAGCTCTTCCCTGTAACAGCCCTCAAGCAATTTAAAAATTAAGATATCTGTCTGTCTATAGGGCTAAATTGCAGCTTTCCGTGTCCCCCTCTGAACTGCTACTATCAGTGTTGCCACATAACAACTGGATCTTTCTAAACAAGCATGATTTATGATTGTCTTCTGCCCAACTACATGCCACAAGTTTGATCAATATGGTGCTGGACAGCACATGTGAAAGTCTCCTCTTTACCCTTCGCAGAGGAGGGGTTCATACAAACTGCTCATATAAACACAGCTATTGATATTGAGCATTTTAACTACCCTGATCATCATCAGGCATCATACCAAAAGTTCTCTGTGAAGCAGCTATGATCAGCAAACAAGCCATACTTTCAAAGCAAGCTCAAAACTGCAGAATTAAAGAACCATGGCTGATGTCTTGCTAACTATTCCTATCATTCCAACTAATTCCACCTAAAACTGTACTTCACAAGCTACGCATTACTCTTCATACTGATCCCTAGGCCAGGTTTCCAGCACCTCTCCAGCAGTCTTTAACACAGTGAACAAAGATAAAAACCATATATAAATGTTACTGTGCAAGACAGATATACTGGAAGGGACAGAAGGCAAGTGCTATAAGATGTTTTAAGTTCTCACTTGCTTTCCAGAACCTGCTGCATACAGCAATCCTAACTACTTCAGCAAATAAATCCTTTAAAGTTAAATGTCTTATTTCAGCAGCTTTGAAAGAGTAAAAATGACATTTTCTTGAGGCTGAGGTTGTGTGTTATATTTTGATGGTGTTTAGAATTCTTCCAGTGCTATTCTTTGGAGGAAGAAAGGAAGGCTGCAGATGTAATTAAGCTGAAAATTAAATATCAATAGTACAGTATTAGAGGAGCAGCAACAAGAACTCCTACACAAGTTCTTGCCAGTCTGCAATTCTGAGCAAGAACAGTTTTTCATTGTAATAAAGAGCAGCATGCAAGAGGAGTAGCTCTTCTCTACATCAATCATTTGAAAAGACTCAAAATCTCAGAAACTCAGGTGAGTGAAACGAGTTTGAGATACACAGGTTGCATCACAGCACGTTACTTTTAATAAGCCTTTTTAACTATGTTTTGTCTACAGCAACTAGGATTAGATTTGATAGTTCCCTTTTTAGAACTCAGTAAAGTGACAAATTCTTAATGACTGCAAGGAATTTCAGTGCTCAGGTCCAACTGAATGCCATTAATTTTGGTTCACTTTAAGAAAGCCAAACCTACATCTGTAAACACATCATGAGCAGAAGCAATACATATTTAACATCAGGCAGAATGCAAAGGAGTCTATCACCAGCTGAGAGTGATGATACTAAAACAGATGAGGTTTATTAAAAAACTCAGAAACAAATTAGGAGAGTAGGAGTAGGATGATGTGCATTAAAATAGTTTGATTAAATCACATCCTAGATGCTTCTGAATGTCTAAATTATGATGACATTACTATGCTAGAGATCCCTACTGTGTATTATTAATAGCTTATCTACTGGTGGATCTGCTGGTTATTTTACTTACTGCTTCAAACCTCTAAGCAACACTTAGGTCATCAAAAAGCAATACCATAATCATAAGCTATCATGAAGTAATGTTCCTAGCAATGCCATAAACGAAAGCTCACAGCATCAAAAAAAAAAAAAAAAAATCCAGCTTTCAATGCATCATCTGTTTGTTTCTTCAACATACAAATAAATCTTCACAGGAAAAAAAAATTAACGTCCAGTGGATAAGAATTAAGAACTGGAGTTTACAGGAGAAAAAAAAAAATAGATATCCGACAGGAAGTTTAATAGAAAGTAACTGAAACAATTCGTAGTACCTGGAAAACTTCAACATTTTCAAAAACAGTTTAAAGTTACAAGACCTATGACTTCTTGGTACCATTACTTAATTTCAAAAAAAATACAGTTTAAAAAAAAAAAACAAACAAACAAAAACAAAAAAAAACCCCACACACCACTATCTTAACTTTGGGATACATTCAGGACAGTGACTTTTTTTTTCTTACTACAGTCTACAGCACTTGATATGATTTCTTCTAATTAGATGCCATCGGCATAGTCTTAGGATCAGAAGAAAACGTTTCCTTTCATACCCATCTGACTCTTACTTCTAATCATTTCAGACCAGTTCTCATTAGCAAAGCTGTCAAGCACAGTAACTCAGTTCAACATGTATTTCAAAGAGCTTTCAGTGTGCCAAGAGGTTTTAACATTCCATTCTCACTTCGAAGTGTGAGATCTGTGGATCAACAACAAAAACACCTAAACTCTTAAAAAGAGCATAATGTTCAGCATGGCTTCTAACTTGTATTTGTTTAGGAGTAATAAGACTGTTAACTGGGAACATTAAAGTGCAGAGAAATGTGTGAAACTGAAAATTCAGAAAGCAGGATTAGATTCCTTTTTCAAAAACTGCATAAACCAACTGGATGACACGCAAAGACTGGGAAATCGTAAATGCATTTTTGTACCACGCGTATTTAAGAACTGTATTTAAGAACTGTAGTCTATTTTAAGACATGCATTCAGTTTTGTTAGGCTGCTTGTCTGTGGATTCAATGACAGCAATCAAGAGAGTCACAGCTCAAGTACCAGCCAGTTTGCCTTTGCTAGCAACCTGAAAAGATTTATGAGTTAGAGAACAGATATGAACAAAGTATTTCCTGCCAAAAAGGTGAAACAGCAAGACCATAAAAATCCTATCATCCAACAGCTGCACAAATCAATTCAATATATTGCTCTCTTCAGCAATTGTACCTTTGCAGTAAAAATATATGCAAGATACATTTGTAGTTTCTTGTCATATACTATATCGATGTATGTGTATACATTAATTACACTGTATCGATGTATGTGTATACATTAATTACACTGTTCATGTGCATCTGGCAGACAAGAGTGGATTTTAACCTGTTTTAAAAAGCAGTGCTCCTGTGCTTCTGCAGTAAGATACTTAAATTTTCTGTTTAATATAACATTTCATGCTCATTTCAGTCATTGTTGCAACTTCTTGTCACAAGCTGGGCTACTAGCTATGTTTCTAGAAGAGGCAAGGTAAATTCAGTTAATCTAGTGCGACAGGCCCGGGAGCTTGGGTAAACAAGTTTTGGTGCCTCAAAGTTCAAGGGGAAATGCCAGATTTCTAACTGCTATTCCCTGCTCTTGCTATCAGAACTGATTCACTGCCAAGTGTGTGATCTAGGAGATGAGGTGCCCGGTGGGGCACGTGGGTGATGTTCTCCCTGGGCTGCCCCTTGGGCAGCAGCTGGAGCTCCTCGCTGAGCCCAGCTTAGCGCTCCAATTTAGCATTCCAGCTTAGCATTCCAGCGGCTTTCCGGGCAGCAGGCCGCCGTCCCCATGGTGATGGCTTTGTCAGCTCCCACAGAGTTCGTGCCCAGCGCCCAAGGACTTACCTCATGCGTGAGCGATGCCTCCGCTCAGGCCCCTCCGCCACTTCTCCTGCAGTTTCCAGACAGCGGCAGCCGCCCTTCCAGCCTGCTGGAAGCAGAGACGATTACTCAAACCAGGAGTCCAAAACCACCTTTCTGGGGGGAGCTGCATGGAGGGCAATCATTGGGTGACTAGCACTTCACTGTAAGTAGCAGGAACGATGCCAACAAAGCCTCTGAAGAGCAGCATGCAAGAGGAGTAGCTCTTCTCTACATCAATCATTTGAAAAGACTCAAAATCTCAGAAACTCAGGTGAGTGAAACGAGTTTGAGATACACAGGTTGCATCACAGCACATTACTTTTAATAAGCCTTTTTAACTATGTTTTGTCTACAGGAAACTGATACCATTTCAAATAAGTGAAATCCAAACATCCAGAAATGAAGCAGGTGATTTTTCAAAAAGATATAGCATTCACAAATGAGAAGGGGAAAAGCACTTAAATCTTATCTAAATTCTTATTCCCTGTAAAACAACAACAACAACAACAACAAAAAAAAAAAAAAAAACCCAAAAAACCCACACATCTGGCATGCGCTCTTAGCAACAATCTTTGATTAAAGTAGCTCACTTCTGAGATACCAACCTGTTAAAAGCAATAGCGCAGGCCAGGCAAAACCACTGAACAAGGAGCTTCAATCTTAACAACTCTGACCTTCCACTGTGGTATAAATAACTTTTGTCTCAGTTACACTAATAATTAAAATACTTCCCAGTTTAACCAAAATAAAGAACAATCACTGACAACATAAACAGTAAACACACTCATTTATATGGTGACAGTTGCCTTTGTTTTAATTATTACACATCTTATACATCTGCATTGTTTACTTTGTAATTTTTACACCAAATAGAGACATGAGAGGTGGAAACTTTCAGCTGAGGTGACTAGATGTTTAATGGGGCAGCAATGACAGAAGGAACACACCAGAAGGAGGCATCAAGATGCATCTAGACAGAAAGCTTAGACTTCTGCCAAGATCATTTCTACATCCAACAAAATATTATTTGCCTTTGGTTTCTATTTTGCTGTCCTGTGTCACTGGCAAACTCCTAGCTAGTTTAACCCCTTCTGATCACTTACAACAGCTCTTCAGGGCTGGTTCCCACCCACAGCAGAGGGGAATCTCCACAGCAGCTACAGGAAAAAGCAAGCAAAAACAACCCTTTTCAAGGGAGCAGCCCGTGGAAGTGACGAAGCCTACAGAATCAACTAGCCCAGCACCCCAAAATAAGGTGTATTTACAACTGGTCACACCATCCTCCGGCGTTCAGAGCAATAGGCCACAACTACGCATACATTTGAATAGACTGCTTTGAGGATGTTTTTAACACCATCAAACTCTGCTCTGCAAGAAACTTGTGTATGGTTTGTGTGTATTTTAGAGAGCAGGAAATACAGATGTTTAGCAGCTGCAATAAAGAGATTGTAGAACAGTGAAAGAAAGAAAGAATGAACTACCTTGACTTCGCATTTACTCCAAGTTTTTAGAAATCCTTAGAGCATAACAAATGAGGAGTAAAGAAATTCCTAGAATTCCAGGGTCTGTTAACAGATCTCAGAGGACAGCCAGAAGCACCATAACAAGACGGTCATTTCTTATCACCTTTCCCCAGACAGTTAAGACTTCAGATTTCATTGTCCATAAAGTAAACATGCCTTCTCTTGTTTAAAACTGGGGCCATATTCCCCATAAAATTAAAAGTGCTGGTGCTATTTTAGCTCTCTAGTGAGCTTTTTTTTGTATACATTCCATTCTGGACTTCTGTGCCCTCGTCTTACTCTAATCCCTGTCCTCTCCCCCCTTTTTTTTAAACTCTTATTTTTGATGTCAATGCTTGGTACTGCTTCACCATACAAAAACTATATATATATAAAAACATTATATATATATACATATATATATATATAGTCATATATATAATACTCCAGAGAAAGAAAAATTTCGTCCCTAGTACCTAGTGAATCTGGCAATCACATTCTGAAATATCATTTGAAGTAAAGGTAAAGACAGATATTCCCTGAAGGATTTTATCCCAAATTTCATAAAAACACGTTACGAATTTGTAACTACCTAAAGTATCAATCTTCAAAGAGCCAAGATAGAGGGACCAAGGTGTTCAACTGTAACGACTGAGCTATGAGCCTTGCAAACACAAAGACCACCAGAAGGTCTCTATTATGTAACACAGACCACGCGCTACCCTCCATTACAAGGCTGCCCTCTCAGGACTGTCTGTCCAACTTTTTGGGCACTGCTATCTGAATGGGTGACAGCACAGTAAGCTGCCTTTAATGCTTTAACTTTAGTAGGCCTGTCAGCATATTACTCAGTTACCTGAAAAAAGAATTAGAAAGTAAGTTTTTTTGACATTCTTTTCCTGATGACAAAACACAGAGTTCAGAACATCAACATTCTGAAGTGTAGAACAGAAAATACACATCTGTACAGCTAATGATATTCCAGGGCTCAGCCACACATGCACCACAAACTCTGAACAACAAGACTTCATCTGAGCGTTTTTTTTACTATGATCGTCAAGTTATGCACTGGAAAATTATGCAAGATGTTTAAGACCTCCAGGTCTGCGATGCCACAACACTTTTTTTTTTTTTTAAATCTCCACACTGATCTGAGATAAGGTGACAGAACCACTGGGTAAAATCACAAACAACTTGCTGCATGAAATTCACAGGTTATCCTGGGAAATATTTTCACTTCATAACCACAAACCCCTAGGTTCCTCTCTTTTCTAAGGAAAATTACTTGCTTTTTTCCTGTAAAATGTCCCAAGCAGGGCAGGCTAGCCATGCCTTGAATGGTGCAGTTTTGTCTGCGATGCTCCTTTCAGTGTTGTTACTATGCCTAGATGTGGCATCAGGAAAGGCAGACAGAAAACCTTGCTAACAAAGACTACCTACATTACGTGCCTGTTTCTTTTTTTTTGGTCATGCTCTAAAGATGACAAGATGACAAATTTATACCACCTAGTAGCAGATCATGAGAAAAGCCTGTAAAAAATATTTTTTAGAGAAAGAATTAGCAAAATTCCACTGTAAGAAACAAAAGGCTCTAAATAATCTTCATTATTAGACTTCATAATAAAAAAATGCATGAAGACTTCACAAAAGCCAAAATTTGAGGCTTTTTGTACTCTGAAAAAGTTCTTTTTTTCTCCCCCTGTTCTAAATGTAAACGAACTCTTGAGCCTAGTTTTAACAAGTAGACAAATTGAGATAAAGCCCCGATAGAAACACTTCCACAAACCATACACAAGAATATAAAAGCACTATTACATACAATATAAACCATATACAAGAATAAAAGCACTTTCATAGCCCATCTCTTTTGCTAGGGCAAAGAAACTATACTCAGTTTTCCTCTGGGTGCCATTGTTAGATCTGAGCAATTTTCAGATTGGGAAAATGTAAAGAAGGAAAGAATGGCTCCAAGTCAGGAACACAGGATCTCTCTGCATCAATGAAGCAAGCTGTATACCAATACATAAAGGGCACTAAATATTAAGAGTATATTTGAAAAAAGTTATTGAGCAATACTCAGAGGAATCAATTACACACCCAATCCCTTAAATACCAGGAGATTGCATTTGTACAAGTTCTACATACCAACAATGTAAACATGTTTGTGTGTTACACCAACACAGCTTCAATCTCATTAAAAACAAAAAACAACAACAACAACAACAACACAGAACCTCCTCAAACCCCCAAAGCCAATTTAGAAAGTAAGAATTCAGTGTTCACAAAAATAATCCTGCTGATAAACTTAAAACAAAGTCAATATAGAGCCACTTTAGGTGGCAGTGTCTTCAGTAATCACTGCTCAGCTTAATTCCTGAAGAGTCAGAGTATTGATCCCTTTGGAACAAACCTATTAGAAGCTTAATCTTTATAAGTACATGCGGATACCATCCAACTGAACATAAACCACTATTAAATTCAAAACCAAAGAGCCAAAATTCCCATAATTAAGCTTATCTAAGAATGTAAGCTGCATATTTGGCAGTTCTACTTTGGGTTAAAGAAAAAAGCCTTGAGGAAATGAGTCCTTAACAGGTTTTACCATATTAATCCTCTGAATAAAAAAAAGAATGGCAACACTCCGGGCATAAGGTATTCTTAAATTAATATTTTTATGTATGCTAAAAACACAAACTTCAGAGTTTAAGGAGTGCTTTGTGTCCCTTCAGCAAAATTACATTCTTGGATGCTGCCCTCTCATACAGGGACTAAACAGATAAGGATTAGTAACACTACCCAATACTGAAGTACTCTGGGAAGCAAAGTTATCCAAAGAAAAAAATCTTTACCCAAATTTGCCGTAGAGGCTAACATCCGCAGAATCAAAGAATCACACAATGGTTGAGATTGGAAGGGACCTCTAGAGATCATCTAGTCCAAGACCCCTGCTCAAACAGGGACATTCAGAGCACATGGCACAGGGTCACGTCCAGGTGGGTTTTGAAGATCTCCAAATCATTCTTTACCCTCACCCTAGTCCCTTTCAGTAAATAATCAGGGCAATACTTGTCAAGATTGCTTATAGTTTGACTTTTTGTGCCTTCTACATATCAAAATACTGCTTAAAACAAATGTTACGAATACCTAAAAAATTCAAAAATAATTGAAACAAGAAGAATCAAACAGCAGTACTCTGGAATGGGCCTACACACTTTCTTTTCTTTCTGAGATAAACTGATTGAATGAGAGAGCTGAATACAGAAAAATAACACCAAAAAGCAGTGGGAAGAGAACAAGAAGAAATAAACAGGGAGGTGAAGGCACTAGGTGGGCCCCTGCTTGCAAGGAAAACCATGATCAACCATAAGGACAAACATCTGGATGGTATGGACAGAAATAACCTCCCTATGAAGTAGGGACAGCAACAGCTCTCAACTACTGCAGGCGATGTCCTAAACAAGGACCATGTTTTCCTTCCAATTGCAAAACTCAAAATAATTCTATCTCCTTTCAATAATATTTCACAAAAATACTGAAAAAACTTTGGAGAAATGTAAAGCAA